ACAATTACACGTCTTGTTTAAAATGAACTGAAAAAAAAGCAGCACCCTGAAAATATATTTATAAATAGTAGCTCGCCATGTCTTGCAAACCTGATTGGATTTCCTGGTTGGTTGCGGTCACCACAAGGGGGGGTTGGTTGATTTACTCATTATCTCGGTTTCCATGTCAAGGACACGCTGTTACCTCTTGTATGCCAGCGAATTCTTCAAAAAACATGATTCATGTGATTCCTATTTGCGTGTTGTTCCTCGCTGAGACAGGTAGCCAACTGGGTTACAGTATCAGAAACAGGAAACGGGGGAATTCTTCGGATTATGTTATTGTGGACGTGTATAGTTGTACCTCAGACGGACAGTAATAGCCAGTACCTCGGTGTGTTTCCTGTGTCCTATAAAGGAAAGGGCCACAGACTTTATGGAGCCTTCATAGCTGTCACTGAATGCAGCTCTCACAAAGGCTTTGGAAACCTTTTTAACACAACATTTTTCCACTGGCACTGTAGGAGCTGCAAGGTTGCAGCACATTTTCTGACTCAAGTCCTTGAGATTCCTACAACGGCTGTGAGTTAAACTGTAGAACTGCATCCTTGAGGTTGAACCCAAGCAGTCAAAGTGGAGGAAACAGTCTCTATTACATCTTGGCCACTCTGTCCCACACAATTCACTCTGGATCTCTAAGCCCCAAAACAACTCAGTAAGCATGTTTCTTGGTCATATTTAGGTCAAAAAGCAGATTAAAACCTTTTTCTGTATCACCTTACATCATTTTTATTACTACTTTGTATATATGTCGCTGCACAATAGGGTATAAACATGATTCGCGATTACATTTCCACTGAAAAAGTCATAATGATGATGTGACATTTCTTGGTGTCTGAACCAAACAAACATGTTATAATGCGGCTTGTCAAACATTTGATCATCAGCAAAAAATTGTATCTTCTGCGATTTGGATATCGATACTTGGCCATATTGTGATTTCGATGATATTTCGATTGATTGTGTAGCCCTAGTTTATATGTATAAATATACAATAATATAAATGTATTTTGATGTTTTATAGTTCTCTAAAAAATAGAAAACCTTTATATTGTTGGGTTTTGGATGGACGAAACAAGCAATATGAACTTTGGGAACTTCTGGGAGTTTTTTTTACATTCTTTTTGAGATTTTCTAGACCAAACTATTAATCGATGAATGATACAGATAAAATTAAGTAATAATGAAAACAAAATCAAATTTTTTTGCCAAGGAAAGAAAAAAATCTGCGATCTAAGAAAAGTATCTCTGCATTATTGCAGCTCCGTACATGGAGCACATACTTTAGATATTTGCGAGCAATTTGTGCCAGTGCTGGAAATCAGAAGTGATTATTTATCCAATATCTGGGAAATGGAAATAGCCAAAACAGCATTTAGACGGCGCCAAATTGATGCGACACAACAGATAAATATCGGCTGATACCGATGTTTGGCTGATAAACAATTTCTGAGCCCAGTTTTGACTTTGATGTCTTTTGACTTGCAAGCCACTACATTATATATACATTTCTTCTTTTATGTGTGAGTGAAGATATTTTTGTTTTTCACTCACATATATCAGATATTTTTTCCCTGCCCTCCCAATATCACAGCTTTGGTCCCACGTAGAAGAGGCAGAGTTCTTCTTACTGTAAATCCCCCAAATGTGCGGGATACATGATTGCTGACCCCCCCTCAAGCACTGCTGAGAGCATTTTGGAAAAACTGCCATTGGTTGTGGTTTGGAAGAACTTTATCATTTTCCCCTCCATCTCTGCAAGACAGAACAGCAGCTTTCTATATTACATTCTTAACTTGCAAAACTGCGTATTTGTCATCTTTTTTAAAAATTTTTATCATACATTCTGTCTTCATCTAACTTCACATCGTTTGTTTTGATTTTCACAGTCATCCATCTCCCAAAGCTAAACTTGGAGAAAAGAGGAGGTGGTGGAAAGGGACGGGGGGTGGTCTGCTAATGTTTGTAGTAGGTACGATAATGGTATTTTGACTGGTCGAGTTTGGATAGTTCCCACACATATTCATGCACACACACATGCAGGCATAGGCGCACATACAGAAACACACACACACAGGCCCTCCATAAACTTTCTCAGGGGATAATTTAAGGACATTGTCAGCGGAGTCGAACAATCAGTGGGCTCAGATAGAAATCCCTCTTAAGGAGCCAGAACCAGGAAACAAGAGTGTTTATTTTGGAAATGGTTCTCCTGCTCCTGCTTTATCATAAACAATAATACTCAGAAATGGTCCTTTCCTTTCCCTCCCGGTGCCAGGATCCGCATTCCTCTCCCAAAATTGTACCTCCAAATGTTTCTCTTAAATACCCAGAATAATCTCATTTTACATGTTTGTGTTTTTACTTTGAGAATCTTAACCAGAGACAAGTTAAAGGGGACTTGTTGGGGCTGTTGGTTAAACTCAACTGTTGCCCATCCAGCTTAGCTTATCTCAAAGGTATTTCCAAGTCTCTGAAAACAACCGAGTGTACAAGTCCATGTCAACTGAATTGAGACAATTCCAACTCAGGTTTAAAGTAAATCGAGTCCGAGTGTGAAGTCAAGAATTCATCTTGTGAAGTCTCAAATCTATTGAGACAAGTTTCACTCAAGTTAGAGACTTGTCAAGTCTCGCGTCCATCAAGACAGGTCTAAGTCAAGTCTCAAGTCGATCAATACAAATGCAAGTCAGGTTTGAGACTCGTCAAGTGTCAAATTTAGTTAAATATCAAGTCAAATGAGACAATTCTAACTTAAGAACGAGTCTTGTTAAGTCTCATGTAAATTGGTCCAATCCAAGTTAAGGTTCTAGTCAACAAAACAAGTCCAAGTCAGGTTTGGTTTCTTGTCAAGTTTCACGTCAATTGAGCCAAATCCAAATCAGCCATCTTGTTAAGCTTCAAGTCAATTGAGAAAATTCCAACTTATGTTTGAGTCTTATCGAGTCTTGAGTCAATCGAGACAAGCCTAATTCAAGCCTGAAGTCAGATAAAACAAGTTCTAGTCAAGTCTCAAATCTAAAGAGACACGTTTAACTCAAATTACCGTCTCAAGTTGATCAAGACAAGTCTAAGGTAGGTTTGAGACTAGTAAGATATCAAGTCAAATGAGACAAGTTCTAATCATAAATAGACTTTGTCTCTTGTCAAGTGTCTAGTCAATCAAGACAAGCCCAAGTTAGGTTTGAGACTAGTCAAGTGTCAAGTCAGGTAAGGCAAGTCGATGTCAAGTCAAATTGTTAGTCTCGTCAGTATTCAAGTCAGTCCACATCAAGACTTAAAAAGCCAAAGTCAAGTTCAAAGTTTGAGTCTTGATAAAGACTTGATAGAGACAAATCAAAAACAAATCTCAAGTCATTCAAAGTTTGAGTAATGTCGAGTCAGCGTCTTTCATTGTTTTCACTCTCTGTACGTCTGCAGAAGTATTTCCAACTGAAAGATATAGTTACCTCCATAATAGTCCACTCAGACTCTGAGAAAGGAACATTTATACCTGTCAGTGCTTTCTCTCTCTCTCTCTCTCTCTCTCTCTCTCTGTTTTTAGCTCTTTTTTTTTTAGACTCTTTATGTTTCTCTTTCTGTCTTGCCCCCCCATACACACTCCCTCACTGTCTGCAGGGGGTTGAATTGAATCTGGCCAGCATCTGGAATCGGAAGTCTGTATAAGGGAATTAGTGAATATCATGGGATACTCTGGAATGTCTGGCTTCAGATCAGACTGGAGAACTTACTGTACACGTTAGATTACTTTTTAATGGCAGCCCAAAAGGAGGCCAAGCAACATTTTAAGACGCTATTTCCACAGAATTTGGGTTGGCAAGGTATCGCTTGCTGTGAAGGTCTAAAGTTTTATGTGAGCCCTGATCTTCCAAGACACTTACAAGTGTGGTTTGCGAATAAGGATGTCATCTTAGCCCTCTTGCCCGGGTAAATCATCGTATTTGGACATAAAAACCAGCTTTAAATTGGGGTTAAAATGATGTGTAGTCAAACAAGAGGAGGTTACCAAATGGAAAAACTGACACACTGTATAAAAAAGGAAATTACATCAGCTGTAAGAGGAAAAGGATGACGACCTTATCTATGTTGCACATTTGTGTGGTCAGACTAAAATAGTTCATTCAGCAACTACAACATCAAAGCATATATTTACATTTGGGCAAAAGTGCCTACATAAAAAACTGTTGTTGTCAGTGCCAACAAATTGTAAATTTCTAAAACGGTGACTAATGGTGAACTAATGGTGATTTTACACACACCTCTCAGAGTAACACAATAAAACTCAATATCACCACACCTACAGCCTCAGATGTGACTATAAAAGTCATTTTCAACAAAAACTGAACTTTATAACCGTCATAAAGGAGGATTTCATGCAGGGCTGTTATATTAGTTTTAGCTAGGCGTACCTGATAAATTGGCAATTGTGTGTATAATGTGGCCATTTTGGGGCATTATTGCATTTATTCAGTTGATGATCATAGAGATAGATATAGGAAGAAGAACTAGGAATGTAAAGATCTATCGAGAGAGCATTAAAATGAAGAGAGTGAAGATTCAAATCGGTGAAATGTGCAATAAAACTTGATATCAATCGTGGTATTTAGGCTCAAAGACATCAGTTTGACTTTTACAAAGCAGTTTATAACCTCAGAAATCCAAAAAGGATTCTTTAGTTTGATTAAAAAATACATTTTATAATAATGATATATATTTTGTTTGATTGTTAGAGAAATAAATCTTTTTAAGTCATAATTTGTCTTAAATCTTATTGTTTTAAAAAAAAAAAAGTGAGAAAACTGTATCATGAATTCATTTAAATGAGAGTTGTGAGTGTAATTGAGGCTCAGCAGCTGTTAACACTAATCTAACTATGTGAGGAATTATAATGGGAGGTAACTTGTTGATCACAGTTGCTGTCGTTGATCCTCACCTGAGTCTTCTCCCTCCCGTCTCTGCAGGCGCAGCGTTCCTCTCATCAGGCCTCACTCCTGGCACCTGGCAAAGCTATCGGAGGCACCCCTCCCTCCCCCCTCCCCCTCCTCCATCTCCTCCCCCTCCGCCCTGCCTCCCCCGTGCCGACTCCCCTCCGCTCCCCCCACCTCCACCTCTGTCTGCCATGCAGCTCCACCCCGGCCCTTACACACTACCCTGGCACACAACTGACAACAGGTGAGCAGTGGCTTGTTTGTAAAATGTTGTTGTGAATGATTAACTTGATCTCAGGTGAAGCAGAAGGAGCTTTATTTCCATTTATGGACAAGAAATATTCAAATTGTTACATGCAAATACAACTCCAAATGTAATAACACATTTGTTTTAAGCTTTAAACACTGATTATGTAACACGAATGCATGTTAAAGAGCATTTAATAGTGTAATAACACTATATTATTATATAAAAGTTGTTGATACTGACATTTCTAAAGGAAACTTTGCATTAAAAGTGGTATTATTAATTAAATGAGCTTTAATTTGACACTTCTCACGTGCAAAACTTTCCCAGTGATGTGATTATATCCACATATATCCTCCTCTTCTGGTCATCCACTTCCTTATTGAAGCTGATGAAGTTGTCTCACTTTGACGAGACAGAAACCTTCCCAATGGGCGAGTGTGTCTATACTGTAGGTTCGAATCACACACGCTGAGACTGTGACTCGCAACGGTTGCCAGGAAACAGGTGACATCACCCTGTTGTAGTGTCAACACTGCCCACGCAGGAAGCCCATTGGTCTATTTCTGCCTTCTATTAAAACATACCGACGTGATAACCAATCTGAGTCGTTCTTCGTCCGTCTGTTCTGATTTAACGGCGAAGAAAAGTGAAATAAAACCCTTAATTTGTGTTTCAGATACACAATTTAAGACTGCACCTGTAACGTATGCGTCTGGAGATCCATAAAAAGGTCTTAAAGGTCCAGTGTGTAACATTTAAGAGGCTCTACTGGCAGAAATGGAATATAATATTCATAAGCATGTTTTCATTAGTGTATATTCACCTGATTATAGGAATCGTCATGTTTTTATTACAGTAGAATGAGCTGTTTTTTGAGCCTACCATGGAGTCCACCATGTTGAACAGCCATGTTTTGTAGCCACCGTAGTTTCTCCAACACAATTCACAGCCCGTTCTTATTCCCAGGTCGTCAAATACAGACGCAAGCGATGTTCAGTTAGTTAATCTGCATCTTAACCGGTAGATACCTCTAAATCCTACACACTCGTCCTTTAAAATGTGTTCAATCTTTGCATCTGAAAGGTCTAAAGTGGGTTCCCCTTGTGGGTTTTTGGCGAGTTAAATGTGTCAATACCAAACCTACTGGTTAATTATACTCTGGAAACTCCTGGAAAATGTCCTGGAAAGGTCCTGGAAAGGTCCTGGAAAAATGATTTCTTAAAAAGAGCGGGAACCTTGTAGTCGACTAGACTAACTGACATTTCTACTGCCGAACCTTTGAGGGTAAAATTAGGCGGCTTTGACAAAAAAACATGATGTTGAAATGCGTTGAGCTTGGATTTTGGTAATATTATGTACAAAAATAGTATTTGAGTAAGTTAGCAAATGATTCTGGAGAGCTGCTTTGGTTTTGTATGTTTAAAGTTAGACTGTTTAACTTTTACTAATCAGCAAAACAAGAGAAAGTTACAGGATAAATAATGTTAATGTCCTTTTACAGACCAGACCAAAACCAATGAACGTATTAAACTGAACAAGGGTGTTTAGTTGCTCATGTATTCAACTTTACATTTGTTAAGAGGAAGAATTTCTTATTTCTTCTTTCACAATCTAAATACAACTTTTGTCCCCTAAAAGTGTCTGTTGATTAATTGATTACACAACTAACTAAACTAACTAAATATAACGGATATTTTTACATCTCACTGTGAAACAAAGTGGAACAAAAGACTGAATTGTCCAGTCAGGTTGAATTAAAAAAAAGAAGGTGATGTAAGCTCAGCAGCCTTTGTGTTACAGTATGATCTCACAAAGCAAAACTGTAGTCCTTTAAAGGGGAAAGAGGAAGTTACCATCGTCTGTATATTGACTCAATAAAAATAACCGTTCTGTCTTTGTTTGTCATCGTTCGTCAGGGCCTTGTACTGTTCTCCTTTTGATAAGAATCGCTGATATAAGGCACCACTGTTAGATTTAATAGTCCCACATGGATTAGATAGCGATGTGTGCGCGCAAGCATGTGTGGGTCTCTTATTCCCACAGTTTTTCCTGCCTGATCTCATCATACACACACACACACACACACACACACACACACACACACACACACACACACACACACACACACACACGCCATCTGATGAGGAGGCAGCTCCCGGCATAACTCTGGACAATGGCATGTGACTCCCAGAACATGTGGACAAAGAGAGGAAGACATTCAATAAACTGTTTGTGTGAAGGACATTTTGTACAGTCTGTATCTATATATGTGTGTGTGTGTGTGTGTGTGTGTGTGTGTGTGAGTTAATCTCTATACTGAGAAAGTGTGTGTGTTTATATCTAAGTACTAAAACAAACCATGTACGAGTGTTTGAGGATCAAATACACCAGTTTTGAGTCTTCACTCATAAAATATGTGATTAATTGACACAATCCAATTAGTCTGGATACACATTTCCCATCATGCACAGTATTTATGTGTGTGTGTGTGTGTGTGTGTGTGTGTGTGTGTGTGTGTGTGTGTGTGTGTGTGTGTGCTGGTTTATCTGTGTCAGCCCTCACACTCACATGTTCCACATGATTGGACAGGAGTGACTGTCATTTCCTGTCCAGCTCCTGTCTCATTTCCTCTTTTCCTCTCAGTGTCACCCAGGTCAAATCTATACAGCAGCCTCTCCGTTCTCATTCATCGCTCACTTCCTTCAAAGGCGATTTTCTCATGCAGATTATGAACCCCCCACCCCCACTAGTGTATTCTTCCTTTGTTATAAATGGCTGGTATCTTTTATAATATGTTAAAGGATCATTTCAGTTTATACCTATGAAGACAGCCATTGTTTTCCATTCTCTTCTGTACCTGTAAATCAAGTAAATAACTCTTTAAACTGCACTTATATTTAGCCTATCACCTTCATTAAGTACTGTACACATAGTAAGAATATAGTAAGTGTGGAATAATTTCATTAAACAAAGCATGTATTTAGAAAAATACACCACATGAGCACAACTATGAACCTAAATGATTTAGGTTCTAAAATTAGATTCTGACACAGAGCGTCTCCACAGAACAAGCCAACAAGATTAGCTAATAATCCAGGACCGGCCTCAGTTGATAATTTACTTCATAGGTGCAATTTCCCCAGCAAATTTGCAATTAATCAAATTACCAAAATCAACTTCCATGCCGGTGAAGTTGGGACATTTGGTGCTCATGTGGGGTCCGTGTTCCCAGGGCGGTTGCAGTTGGCTTGAACATTCATTCTGTGTTAATGTCTGTCTGTGGTCGTGCAGTTTAAGTGCAGATAGATTAGAAAAGTCTCATAACAAATAATGTAACATTTCCTAAACTTAACACAGATGTTCACTGGATTCCTAAACTCTGCTTTTAAGTTTTAAGAGGCGTCTACTTGACTCTCAGAAACTAACGGCTGCCGAACAAATAATTTTTTTCTGAAACACAGAAGCATCACTTGTACAGTAGGTGTGACATAAACCGTGAATTATCTCCAGTAAACGGGCTAAAACATGCAAAACCACATTCTTTAACCACCAAAACATTTGACGACATAAGCAGATAATCATATTTTGATAAGAGTAAGTTGTGGTAAATACAAATGAATCAAAAACCCATCGGTTTTAAGATCTTTGCATGGACCATAAATACCACAGAAACAGCCTGAAGATATTCTGCTGGTTGTTTCCCCATACTGGTTGGAGATCAAAGCCCTTCAGAAATTTCTCTCCTCTGTAACCTCTCATCTGTCTCCTTGGCAACTTTCCCTATTGTTTGAATAAGACAGCAAAGAAATACAAAGGGTGAGTGAACACTCTTCTTTATAGGAACAAGAAATACCACAATAAAATGAAAACGTCTTTTTTTCCCCCAGCTTTAACAGATTGGATTTCAACCAAGCACAAAAACTCCTACCCCCTGCAATATGTGTCAAATATATTTTCCCTAAGCTCTCCTTATGCTGAAAACGACTCCCTGTCATTGTGTCTTATGTGGTTTTCTCCAAGAAGTTTGGATTCTTTGGATTGTTTTTCTTCTTTTTGTTTGATTTTTCTGGACTTTTTGTCCTGTTATGAGACAGAAGTAGAAGACAACAGAAAGTGGACGATGTTGTCCAACAGAGGTCATAGGTCAGATTCAAACCCAGGACTTTGTGGTTGCAGTTCAGCCTGTTGAGTAACCACATTATTTGATGTATGTATGTCATTTATTGCATGTCTGTCTGTTGTGATAGAGGGATCCCGCCTCTGTTTTTCTTGAGATTTGGAGGTTTATGCCCTTTTTCAAGTTAAAAGCTTTTTGTAGAGTCTTTCCTTATCTGAATAAAGTGTCTAGGGATAGCGAGTGGCATATGTTCTACAGATTGTAAAGCTCTCTGAGGCACATTTGTGATTTGGGGTTGTATAAACGAGATTGACTCAAGAATTACTGTATTTCTTTCAAGTATCAGTGAGTACTGACTAAAACATGAGCAGACTCTTCTGTAAACACCGTGTCATGTAATCAATTCAAAGCTTAACTGACTGGATACTGTCCAGTAAAAGGAGACAAATAAGTAGGTTTGAAATGTTTTTCAGAAAGGGGTTATCATTTTGGAATAAATCCACATTTGATGTAAAGGAGATGGGACAGACAGAATCCACAAGAGGAAGAAAGGAATGAAAGAGGAAGAGAGGAATCAAGGGATGAATTAGAGATTTTGACTCCGGGCGGTGGAAGTTGATGAGGAGGAAATCCCTCTCCGCCTTAAGAGGCTTCCTCTGAGGGTCTTTAAAAACACATGGGGCTGCCGTGGATCTTCAGCTCAGGACTGATAGAAAACAGATTCCCCAGCTGTACAGTTCAAAAAGCATGTATCGCAGAATGATATACTGTATATGTCTCCGGGGGGGAACATCGCAACTTGCCACTTGGAAATTAAAGATGACTTATTGTATGCAGTTTTTAAAAGCGTTAACCATTTTGTCAATCAAGGAGTAACATCATACTGTTTAAAGAGAAACCACATAAACCCAGGGGACATTATATGTTACTGTGTTTGATGAAATAGAATACTTTCTTTTTCAATTAATAGACTATAAAATGTCAGTGAACAAAGACAAATGTCCATTGCAGTTTGTCAGAGACTAAGACATTTTGTCTGGAGAACAGACAAATGATGTCTGTTTTTGAAACACTGATCTTCTGTCTCCTTGTCTCCACAGTGACTTGCCCTTGCAGTGGGGCCAGCTGTCCAGACCTTACTCCTCCACTGACCGAAGTAGTTCCCTTGGCTCCATGGAGAGCTTGGACACACCAACACCCACCACACAGCCGTACTCTGACTCCCATAATTCACCTGTGGACCCCACCCTCTTCAACAACAAGAGAGACTCAGCCTACAGCTCATTCTCCGCCAGCTCAAACACATCCGACTACGCGGCGGTGCCACTAAGGCCCGGTGAAGCCTGCTCCATGGATAACATCCTCCAGAGCCTGGGACCGGGTTGTCGAGGCTACCCTGTTGGTGACACCTCAACCCTGGGGAGTTCATCTGGCGATACCCCCGATGAGGCACAGCTTATTGTACACAAGTCCAGGTCGCTGACCAGGCCAAGACCAAGGCCTGTTGAGGTAAAAGAGAGGCCTTCCTCCTGCTGTTATGATGAGGAGCGGAGGGGAGGAGACTTTGAGATCATAAGAAATGGAGAAAGAGGAGCTGAGAGAAAGATGAACCCTCCTCAGCCTCCAACTAGAAAGGACAGTTTTAGGGCGACCCGGAGTCGCCCGAATATCGTCAACAAACGTTGTGCTTCTGCCCCTATTGAAATTTCCAGTGTTTCTTGTTACTATGACGAAAACAAGTCCTCTCTGAATGTTGAATCAGGAATCCATAATGGCTTCCCCGCACAGGAAGACAGTGACAAAACTGGGAATTTTAAAGAGGATACCTTAGACTCGCACTATATCCAAAGACAGACTAAAGACGTTAGACATATCAAATGTGATACTAGTGCTAATAAAGACAATTCAGAGTCCACCTCAGATCACCTCCCTGACCCAGTGACTGCCCCCCTTGTCCCCATCACTTCCTCTTCTCCTGGCTCCTTACCTGCAGAAACCTCCATAGAGGTTCAAGGGCAGTCTCATACAATGCAATCCCAGACCAAGCACTCCTCTACGGGGCTGCACCGGCACAGTGCCCCCGAGAAGCTTCTTGCTACACAGCTTCAGTTATTGCAGTTTGACAGTGAAAGCTCTTCTTTGGAGCCTTACAATCCGTCGAATCCTCCAGATCGCTCATTGTCCCCTTGTAGCAGCCAGTGGTCCCATTCATCACTCCCCCCAAGGGGGGAAGACCAAGAAGCTTCTCACAACCACCTCCACGCCCCATCAAACAAATGGGAGGGCAGCCGTTGCTCAACCCCAGGATCTGTGTTCTTGGAAGGGGATGATGATGACGGAGGTTCAAGTGAGAGGCTGGAAGGGACGGGTGTTAATGGTGGGTGCCTCCCCCCAGCTGAGCATCACCACCCTTGGGGCCGCTCTGTGAGCGTACCAGGGGACCCCACTGGATCGTCAGCCCAGGCAAGGTTGAGCTCTGATCAGATACTAGAGAGAGATTTTGAGCCTCTTAGTGCTGCTGCCAGTGTGGATACCTTACTGGAGGAGCAGAGAGTAGGGGACAAAGGAATACATGGAGGTAAAAAACTGAATGTAGAAGGAGAGACAAACATGAAGAAGTCAAATTCATCCAGGAACCATCATCGGAACCGTCGTCGTAGCGAACGATTTGCTACCAACCTCCGCAATGAGATCCAGAGAAAAAAGGCCCAGCTTCAGAGTAGCCGTGGGGGGTTGCTCTGTAGTGGGGAAACTGTCCAGGAGGAAGAGGGTCCAGACCTCAATGAGGAGGGGCCAGATCAAGACCTGCCTTCCCAGGAAAGGAGTACCAAAGTTGAATTTGCCTCACCTGTTAGTCTCCAAAATGCCAGCACCACAGCACCAGTCGAGAAATCAAACACCTCAGGTGAATCAAACCATGATATCTCGCAGACTCAGCCTCAGTCAACAACTTACACTGAAAACAACAACATATCCAGGTCTGTCCAGATTCTGGATCCAGGGTTGCCCAATTTTGGTGTTGGGATTCGAGTCGTGGAGGAACCAGCTCCTGCCGGCAAAGCACGCCGCTGGCGTTGGACTCCAGAGCATAAACTGCAACCAGAACCCAAACCAGAACCACGGTGTGGAGCCAAGGGTGAGAGGGTGTTTGGAGTCACAGGGTCACGGCACGGGGTTTGTGCCTTCACCTCCTCATCTACTTCCTCATATCGCTCGTCTTCCTGTTCTCGGATGGATGAGTCAGAAATCCTTCCATTTGCAGATAGAATGAAGTTTTTCGAGGAGACGAGCAAGGGTATAAATGTCTCGAATCTGTCCAGTCGCAGGCAGAAGAAACCCCCCCACCACCCGGAGCTCCAGGGAGGGGAGCTCAGTCAGCACCCAAACCAAAGGAGATACTCCTACCAGGGGGGACTACAGCAGGAAAGTTCCCTGCTTACAAACACTATGGAAGCTAGGAGGCTGTCTGTGAGTACCAGCAGGGAAAGACAGAAAGAGAAGGAGAGGGAACAAGCGAGAGAAAGGGAGGAGAAGGCAAGGGAGAGGCAAAAGAGGCTGAAAGAAAGGGAGAGGCAGCAGCAGGAGAAGGAAAGACAGGAGAGGGAATTAGAAATGGAGAGGGCAAGGCAGAGGGAGATTCAGCGGGAGAGGGAACGAGAGGAGAGGATGAGACAGTGGGAGAGGGAACGGGAGAGGGAGCTTGAGTTGGCGAGAGATAAAGAGATGGAGAGGGCCAGAGAGAAGGAACGACTCAAAAAAGAAAGAGAAAAAGAGCTTGAGAGAGAAAGAGAGAAGGAAAGGGAAGAAGATGCTCAGCTATCCTCACATCAGGAGTTTTATGGCAGTCCTGGCATCAAGGAAAACTTCCACAACCAGCCTAAACCTCAGGCGTTCTCCCATAGCCAAACCCAGAATCAAGTCCCGCGATCAGCTTTTTATCCAGTCAATACCTCCTCTCAGCCCCTGGACAACCGACAACCTCTTCACCAGGGATACACAGCGAGGAGCTACACACCTACAGAGGTAAGAGTGCCGCTCTCACTCTCTCTCAAAAATGCATGAAAACATATCCATGAAAACATTCTTACACACACACTGGATCCTATTTTAACCTTGCAATAACAAGTGCAAAGTGGTAGTTTTTGGTCGGACAGACTGTGTGGGCATCTCCAGGCGTTGTCTGGATGGTGCAGAGCCACAACACACAACAAGAAAGACATACAGCATTTATATGGGTCACGCAGGAGGCAGGGGTTGCCAGGTTAGCTCTCAGTAGTGGTCTGTTGTCTGCTGGGATCTGGATTATAAACTTGACTCTGTCAGGTTTATAGACAAAAAGAGACAGAGAGTGAAATGTGGGCTGAAAGAGTGGGTGTTAGTGATCCGGAGTGAGTTGAAGTATCGGTCAGTTCACTGAGAGATGGGCTAAACACGAAGAACAGGCTATTGGTATGTCCGCTTATCACTCGGGACTCCTAAATGTATGTTTTTAGATTTCTGAATAAATCAGAACTTCTTTATTTCTATTAAAGCCACTTTGTCTATAGCATAATCATTCGAATGACCCGGTTTATAGAGGGTTAGTATCCTTCAACCGAAGTGCTTGTCAGTATACCGAACAGCATCTGAAGTTTCTGGCACTTTGACCCCCAGGCTACCAGGGTGGCCCAACTTTTACTAGCACTTATTTGATGTTAAATAGCTTTTAAACTGGTCCTGTGGGATGGGCTGAAAGCAACAGTATTAATAAAGGAATTTCTATTTTCAACCAATATTCACGAGAGGCGTCAATCCTGTTGAGACATAAAAAAGTTAGCGGTTCTAATTGCATCCATTAACAAGTATGTTTACAAGCTTGTTGGCCCTCAAAACCGGTTTCCAGCAACAGGCTTGCTAGTGCTAAATAACAGCCTATGTCCCAGCAGCACTGAAACCAAGTAACGCCTTTCAGAGTGAAAGATAAACTTTGCAGCTCAGTGAAATCAGACTGCGGTTTTGGACCGAACTGAAATGACCACTGGAGACTGAAAAACTATCTTGGTTCTTTAAACCAACACCAGAAAAGGGATCGAGTGGCCACACTTGGATGTCGGAGCTAAGTGGCCGCTCGGTCCAAGCGCTCCGTGGTTAAACGGTTGGTTTTGAAGTTGAACCTCGCATCCTGCATGTGGTCAAAGTCTGAAATTCTCATTGAAAATTCAGCGAATCGTTGAAATAGCTCATGGAATTGAGAGAGATTGGGCAACAGCGGCGGACACTTGTGTCAGCGATAATAGCAGCGTTGGGTTACAACCTTACCACAGACTGATTCGAGTCTCGGCGGGGGGTTGCAGCCCCTCGTCTGAACTCTTGAAAGTCCTGTGAACTTCAACGTATTAGTAACCTCATCGTTTGACACTGAACGAAGCCGAGCTGACATTTGTTTTGGAATAAATGCATCTTCAGTTGGTTCAAGCCGACACTGTTTTGTTGTTTTCATGGGGTTTTGCCACGCTGAGGCCTCAAGGGGAACCTTGAACCTCAGCCCTCGTGTTGGGATCCTTTTTCAAGTGAAAGGTTGTTGGTTTGATAGCGGATAACCCCCGTGCACTGAATTCTTGTTTCATATCTCCCGCTGACAACGGCCAACATGTTTAATGGTAACAGATGTCCTGGATGCACTACAAGGCTGCCATAAGACTTTCTACAGAGGCAAACACATGAATATACGCTCTTGAGATGGCCAAACATTCAAACACATTTTAAATTAAGTGGAGAATTTGGGTTCATTCATTAAGTTGTTTGCTTTTATGTTCCTGTGTGTGTTTTTTGGACTGAGGGAGGAAACCGAATGTGAAAATATAGAAATGTAACTGGCTGCTGTTATTATTACTCGTGGTCTGTCTGTCAGTCGGCTCTCATTTGAGAAGCCCAGCTGTGTTTTCAGAAGTGTTAGGAAATAGTTCCGTTGAATTGTTGTTGGCAAAATTAGACGATTAGATTAGATAGTTTTTTTACATCCACAACCTCATTATATGAACATTAAATATACACTGTGATGCAATTTGCCTTTTTCTCAAAGGACATTCATTTTATAAAAGGTCAGTGCAGAAAACCTTTGCGTGTGTAATTCTTGTTAGACTCAAAATTAAGCACAATCACAGTTCACAATTGTCTTTTATAATATTAAATTACTTGTTGGTCGATAATTATCAGAGCAGATATATTATCGTCCGAAAATTAGATATTTATATTATTATGAATTATCAGGATAATTAAATTATAGCTAATAAACTTAATTTAAATTCTTATGGAAAATGATTGATAGCATTTATTTAGTATATAGTTTTTTGATGAACTTAACTATAATTTTTAATACAAAAACATTAATTTGAAGAGTCAGACTTGTTTGTTTTTGTTGTGTAAACAATAGTAATGTGACTTAAATTTGGTTAAAACAGAGCTATTGAGTATAAAATCATCCATCTTTGCTCCCTAAATCTCAGCCTTTCTTGCCATCAAGTGTCCGTAAAGGTATAAAGTTATAAAGCTATGAACTTGTTGAAACGCAAAAACGATCGGATATCTTATCGGTATCGGCCATGAGAAGCAGGTCATTATCGGTTATCGTATCGAGCATCCACAGCAGATCTTCCATACTTTTATTGGGTGTCTACATAGAGGATTAAACATAGTCTGACATTAACCTTTGTGGCTCCAGCTATTCACCAATAGACGCCAGAAGAACTCATAAATTACTTAACACCCCTTTTAAAACCCAGGAGACAATGAATTTAAAAGCAGTTGGGCCATCCAGGTACTTGTGGTATAGAGTTTATTATCACAAAGTTATCAGTTGTTACCATTGTATGGGTTTTTATGCTCTGTTGACAGCAAGTGACGGCCAAATATGTTAAACTCTCATCCCACCAGTCCAATAAAAACACCGTCTGAATGTTCAGATTTACATTGTAGACGCTCAGAAAATATCTGTACCCCCACCGGTGGCGTGTTTGTGCAGCTTATCCCCGCCTCACCGGCTGCTGCAACTCCGACCAGTAACGAGAGTGCAATGAGTTCGTACAGCTCTCCACCGATGGGGTACATAACCCGGCATTGTACAACGCGTCCTGTATCGCGGCGATTACGGACAAAGCCTCGTATTGTTACAGCTCAATGATTAATTCGGTTTCAGTGGGAGGTTTCAATAAAAACATCGAACCCCGCCGGCGTTTTATAATAATAATAATAGTAATAACTTAGCTATTGAACCTTTCAGTAAATGAACTAGTTGCTAAACTGAGTGTGAAAGTGTTGAAAGCTCTGGAAAAAAACTGGAGTTGTAGTGTAGTTACAAAGCAGCTAGTTTTAGTTTGTTTCTTCTATTTCCTGAATAATATTTATTATTAAAAAAATGTAAACTATTTTGTTTGTTGCTCGTTCTAATCATAATTGTAAATATTTTTCCATCCTTGTGCTTCGTTTTAACCCGGGCATTAATTAATCTTCGCCTCTATGTGTTACACAGAGTGCGGCAATTGTCGTGTATACATTCAAGTCCAATAAACAAACATAAAAGTGCTTAACAAAGGGACAAAAGCAGCAAACTGCATAACTCAGAATAAAATTAAACATTAATTAATTAATTAATTCAACCTTTATTTACTTCTTGGAAATACATTGAGAGAAACAAAAACAGAAATACAATATAGACAATATAAATTAAAAATAAATAACTAAATGATTAAAAATTAAGCGTTGAGTTCAACTGAAATTAAATTTAAATGGAATAAAATGCTCAAATTAAACGTAAGAATGCAACAGCAGCTCAGAGGAAGATAAAGCTGAAACAATAACTCAACACACTGACAGAAAACTTATTAACGACCATGTTTCTTATCGATTAACCGTTGTTTTTAATCCAAAACTAGAAAAAAAACACTGGTTCCAGCTCCTCAAATATGAATTTTGATGGATTATTGGGGTCTATTAAAATGTAAATCTACATGTTTCACTATTCATTGACATTTTAATAAACTATATGATTAAAACAATCACAACTGGTAGATTCATTGATAATTAAAATCACTGTTAGTTTGCAGCCCTAGAAAAGAGTGAGTGAGAAAAAACTTCCCAGGCAGGTTTCTGACATAAAACTCATAGAAAATAGAAAATGAATCCACCATAATTAACCTCATCACCGCTGAACGGCAGGGTGGAGTAACACACCGACAAGTCAGCACCAGATTGAGGCCTTCCTTCATTCCTTTGGAGTTATTAACCGGCTCTAAATGTCTTCCACAGACGTATCCTGCCCGGCAACAGGAAACGACCAAGCTCAACAGGAAGTACAGCCTGACTGAGAGGTGAGCCGCTTCCTTTAACAGCCACATACAGCAAACACAGACACGTACTGCACCATTCATATAAAAACAAGCAGTCCTTCTGTTTTCTGATGTGATTATCGTCTATATTTCTGATTTTTTAAATTTTTTCTGACGCGCACTTGCTCCATATATCTCTGAGCGAGTCCTCCGGAGACTTTAGGTGGGGTCGGAGGCCCATTGTGCACCAACGGGCAGGAAATCCCACTCAGTCATGGCTGGCTGTGATTTGACTGTAATGAGCTCTAAGTGTGTGGAGCAATCATCCATTCTTAAAATGTGACCATAATGATATGTGGTTGGATGGGGGGGGCGTAGGAAGGGGGTAGGAGGACATGCATGGCTTGTAAAAAAAGGGCCTCTACTCATATTTGACCTGAGACAGAAACAGTTCAGTGAGTCTATAAGGCACAAAGGAAACATTTACTGTAATTTAACCACTTTCTCTGACTGGTTTTTGTTTCGTAACGTGGAAATGTCTGCCTCACATCTCTGTGTACCTTCAAGGCGGTGAAAACTGTAACTTTAAAACCCACGAGTGACGGGATTCCTACATGAATGTGAACTGTTTTGTTTATTTTAATTGTTGGTTTTTTGTGTTTTCTCTCTGGTTTTAAGTGGGTGTGGCTCTTGGCACCAATCAAAGTTGATTGCATATGTTGCCATGGAAACTCCTCTAATTAAACCCCTATTTTTTAATGTTAAACTGTTAAATTTAATTGTCCTCACTTTATTTTTGATTTTTGCTCATTTAGGTTGTTGATATTTAAAGGAATAGTTCACATTAAGCTTTCTTTCCAAGATATAGAATAAAAAAAGATCAATATCTCTCATGTCTGTGCGTCAGGGTGTCAAACTTTATTAGTTTTTAATTTTTGCTTTCAATTCAGGTTAGTTTCAGTTAGTTTCAGTAAGTTTCCAGAGTGGGTTTACTGGTGTCTGTTCAGTGATTGTTTAAAAATGTTTAGTTTTAGTTTTATTAGTTTCAGTATTAGTTTAAGATTTTGTGTTATGTAATATTGGACGTATCTGGCAGGGGTTATATTTAGGAAGATCAGAGTAGGTTTAACAATAAATCCACAGTGACTCACAGTCATGTAGAAATCCCAGTTTCAAGACATTTCCTGTATGTTTTTATTTTAGTTCAGTTTAGTAAGTTCACAAAAGCGTTTCTTAGTTTCAAGATGTTTTTTTCACACCTACTTTTAATTTTTAGTTTAGTTGCTGTGTGTTATTACAGAGCTGGAGTCAGGATGTGGTGAGCTTACCTTATCTTAGCTTACCTTAGCATAAAGACAAGAAACGGGGGGACAGATAGTGAAAATGGAAAAAATACACTAATTAAACAGAATTTCTTTTATTCAATCTCATCCACAAATAAAAATATAAAAACAGGCTGCAGCACAGAGTTCGGTATCCTGTCGCGGCACGATGGTACCAGACCCGGCTGCTGTTTATATCAAGAAAAAAGTTACCCCACAAAACTATAGCTCAAAAAACTATAACCCAAGACCACAAATTGTTGTTTTAGAGATTCCAATCTTTATGCTAAGCTAGGCTAACTGCGCACTGGCTCCAACTCCATACTTTAGTTTAACACTTAAAACTCTTACTTAAGGTCTTACTGTCAGTAAAGAACCCTTCCTTCAATGTTTAATCTTTAATGTCAGATTTTAGCCTCCTTTTACGTTCATGTGTTTGTTTGTCAACAAATAAATATGTTGTTTTCTGATAACAGGGACTACCCGAGCTGGAGACGTGAGTCCAGACCCCCAGAGAGCATTAATCAGTGTCATCAGCAGCCCCACCCGGGTCGATGGGGCTCCAGACAGACGGACGACGGCCGCAACGGATACTCGTACGCTCCCCCGCCGGTTCCTCTCTCCCTCCGAGGTCGAGCCATGTCTGAAAACGACCTCCGCTTCGACAGCAGCCACCGCTGGTCGCCGTCGATGTACACCAGCCAGACCCTGAGCGAGGTGGAGGAAGGAGGACGAGACGCCGCCAGCACTGCCCGGTCAAACAAGAAGAAGACCCCGCCTCCCCCGAGACCGCCTCCCCCGAAGTGGGAGCAGTTCCACCGCAGGCGAGCGTCCCACCACGCCCTGTTCTCCTCCTCCTCTTCTACTGCTCCTCACTCCATCCCTCCCTCCTTCGACACCGCAGAGGGCCACTATCCGACTCGGCCCTCCTCCTCGTACATCCCCCCGCACGAGACGTCCAGACAGCGGTCCTACAGTCTCCCTCCAGAGAGGCAGGAGGTGTCGGAGGGCTGCCCGCGCTGCAGCTGCGGCCAAACCCAGGAGCACGCATTTCCCCACGCCTCGTCCAGTCAGAATCAACCCCACGTGCAGGAACACCCCTTCTCCCACCACGCTCCGTCCAATCACAATCAGGTGGAATTTCAGGATCGGACCTTCGCCGTTGCTCCGCCCAGTCCGATGTTCTCCAGGAGGGGCTTCAGACCGGTGGCTCCGGCCCAGAGAGAGCGGGACCCGAGGAGCACGTACGGCGAACATCAGGACAGGGTGGAGGTTATAACGGCTCTACCGCCGCCGCCTCCGCCTCCGCCGCCGCCAACGGACAGAAGCGTGAGCAGGTGAGCAAGGGCAGTTTATAGCATTGTTACATAATGTTTGATAACGTGTCTGCATCGAGGTTATTGTAGTTAACTAAAACTAGACTTACAAATCTAAACTTCACTGTAACAATAATAATAATGTACAAAACCACAAAAAATTTGGTTTTAGTCTTTGTTAAACTCTTCTAAGGTGATTACAGTGGGCTCATCCTGCTTTGCTAACCATGCTGGAGACCTGAAAGTTACAGTTTTCAGACAAATAATAATCTTAAAAATACAGGAATGTGGAAGGAAATCCTAAAACTGTCTGAGAAAACAAAAAAAAGAATTAAAAGTATTTTAAAATGAATCCTTTGTAGCTCTTACGAAAGAAAGATTCAAGTCTGCACCTGTAACCACGCCCATCGGTGATGTCACAGTGTACTGGCCACACCCCTGAGTACACGTCTACATCACTGCAGTTAAACCAGGTCAACAAACACTTCAACTGGTGTTTCACCAGAATATCTTGACGTGACAAAAGTGACCAGAACAATGAAAAAATGACGACTGAGTGATGTTTGGAAAGTAAATTTGAGTCTTTAAGCTTAAAACATTTATTAATACAGAAACTTATCTAACTTATATTTCTGTTTATCTGTAGTTTATCTGAGATGAACATCAGCCGCAGCCTCGACCAGGACAGAGAAACAGTGAAACCTCACAAACAGCAGAGACCAGGAGCCGAGTGGGAGAGGGCCCCGTCTCCCAGAGTTCATAGCGACTCAACGCTTCCACCTGTCGTAGAAAACGGTGGCGTTTTACCTCCCGAGTCCTACTTCGCCATCGACTACGAGCAGCAGCAGCAGCTCCGTATGAACAGAGGCTTTCAGAGCATCGATCCGCAGAAGATCCCCGAACCGGGAACCGAATCGGAGACGACCCTCAGCCCGAGTCCCGCACACAGCCTGGACGCGGACCTGGACGTCCCCATGGAAACGGACATAGACGATTTCCAGGAGGACGAGGGACTTCCAGCGGAGGAGGAGCCGATCACCAGCGAGCTCCCGTGCTTCGCGCTGCCGGTGACCGTCCTGGAGACGGACATCGACACCTTGCCGGACTCCGAGGCCTCGCCGTCGGGCCGGACGAGGGCGGAGAGCGGCTCTCTGGAGGAGGAGCTGGAGGCCGGGGAGGAGAGCGGCAGGGAGAGGCTGAGCCTGGAGGAGTTCTTCCCCCAGAGCAGTGAGGGAGAGTCGGGCACAGAGAGCTGGAGAGGGGCCTACCAAACCACGGAGCACAACACGGACAGCTTGGATAGGTAACGAGAGAGCGGGCGGGGGAGAGGGAGCAGCTTAAAGTGTGTGTGTGTGTGTGTGTGTGTGTGTGTGTGTGTGTGTGTGTGTGTGTGTGTGTGTGTGTGTGTGTGTGTGTGTGTGTGTGTGCGTGTGTTAATTACACAGACCATTTGATTTGTACAAGACCTAACTGTTCTTGTCACTAAGCTTATTCCCTCTTTCCCACAACCTTTCCAAAGCACCTTGCTTGCAGCCAGCTCTCCCCCCTCTCTCTCTCCCCCCCCTCGTTACAAATGGTTTATTTTTACAGACACAGGTGCCAGATGGGTAATTGCTACCACATAGAGAGTTTATTTTGTCACAGGTACATTTAAAGGACGTTAGAGGGTTTTCTTTAACTATATATATAAGTAGAGTTTATTTATTTTCTTGTTTCCAGTAAAGATGTTTTCCATACGTCTCTTTGTCCAGATAATTGATTGCGTCGCTTATTTATGTACTTTTATAATCACCGTATTTCATGGCGTCTGTTTTACTGCTAGTGTTTTATCTCTGCGTTAATAAAATACACTCTCCCCTCTCCCTCCGTTTCCCCTCAGGCGGTCCGGCGCGAGCTCCAGCTGTTCGTCCTATTACAGCACGTCGGCGGCCAAAGCTCAGCTCCTGTCGCAGATGAAGGACTTCACTGATAACAGAGAGCGGCACGAGGACGACGAGCTGACCTACAAGGTAAACACTTCTGTCTTTAACTCACCCGGGATGATCCGTCTTCACACGGTTGGTGATGATGTTGACAGAATCTCCTCCTGTCGTGCAGAAACAGCTGATGGAGAGCCTCCGCAAGAAGCTGGGAGTGCTGAGGGAAGCTCAGAGGGGACTGCAGGACGACATCAGAGCCAACGCACAGCTGGGAGAGGAGGTGGGGAGACACTTCATCGTTCATTGTAACCCCTAAAACTGGTTACAGAGCTCTCTTGCTCATGTCTATGTGTGTTTTAGAGCTACAACTCACATCTAATTTAGCATATTTCTAAGAATTGGTTAAATAAGTACTCGTTTTCTTGTAGATAAACCAGTTGATTCGTGGTTTGAGTCAACATTTAATCTATTAAATGGCAAAAAAACAGACACAAAAATGCTCCTTTCAACTCCAATGAGCTCACACTGATGTTTTTAAATTGCTAATATTGTACAATTAACAGTCCAAACCCCCCAAAAATATCAAATTTCAGTCAAATTCGATCAACACAGCGGCAAATCTTCACATTTTGAAAAGCTTAAATGTCCAAAATATTTCTGCCACTGTTATTGAGGGATGCAAAATGACCGCATTGCCAACAAGATGCTCTCAGACCCCCGTTTGATATGGTCCGTCCGTCTTGTCTCCTCAGGTGGAGAACATGGTGGTGGCGGTGTGTAAGCCCAACGAGATGGACAAGTTCCGCATGTTCATCGGCGATCTGGACAAGGTGGTCAGCCTGCTGCTGTCGCTGTCCGGGCGGCTGCTGCGAGTGGAGACCACGCTGGACACACTGGACCCCGAGACGGAGCACCACGAGAGGGTGAGGAGAGGGGGTTAGTTTTAACATTTTAAATGATATTATGTTTCTAAGTATAGACACAAAACATCACTCTCTTGTCTCTCTCTCCCCCGTCCTCCCTTCTCTCGCTGCCCTCTAGCTCCCCCTGCTGGAGAAGAAGCGTCAGCTCATGCGGCAGCTGTCCGAGGCTCAGGACCTGAAGGACCACGTGGACCGCAGAGAGCAGGCCGTCAGCCGGGTGCTGGCCCGCTGCCTCTCCCCCGAGCAGCACCGAGACTACAGGTACAACTAAATACAGCTTTATAGTCCGTTGTGGTGGACGTTGAGTATAAAACATACTGAATAAAGGTTTAATGAAGGTTCACAGCAATGGATTTTTATCTAATTCCAGCTTCGATAGGATTTATGATAAAGCTCTAGTCTGTGGACGTTTTTGGAAGAAGGGAAGCTTATACCGACAAAGAAGTAAATGTTTTATTGGCCACAAAATTTAGAAAATATATAAAAGATGTAAGATGAAGATACTGAGCTCTAACAGGGTTAAGAGAATAGTTTTCCAGTCATGGAAACACCTGGAAATTGGTTAAAATGACCAAATATCCTGGAAATTAACTATGTTGTCCTGGAAAATTTGAATTGGATTCTACTAGAACACCCAAGAGAGCGAACACAGTGTCCCATAATCGCTGAATCATTGAAAAAACTCCTGGAAAACTCCTGGAAAATGTCTTGGAAAAATGTTTTTTCTTAAATGGGAACCCTGTGTAAGATGGAGGGCAGCTGGTGTGACGTTAATGCATCATCAGGACTGCACTCAAACAAACACAGTTTAATATTTAAGATCCTGAACTTAACCTTAAAGAATATCCTTCCTTAGTTAGAGTTGTAAATGAATTAATTAATGAAAGAACAGACTGAATAATAAGAATCTAAATGTTTAAACCTGCAACTGCTCCTTTTTATAAAGTCTGAATATTAATTTGAGCTCTTATTGTGAAGGACAGACGGGATAAACATTCAACACAGCGTATAAACAACACAATAAAACTAATAAAATACCATAAATATAAAGGATAAACTGATGTTTTATGTCTGTTTTCTTTCCCTTTCGTAGCCACTTTGTGAAGATGAAGGCCGCCCTGCTGGTGGAGCAGAGGCAGCTGGAGGACAAGATCCGGCTGGGAGAGGAGCAGCTGAGGGGGCTGAGGGAGAGCCTGGGGCTGGGGCTGGGAATTGGTATGGGAATGTCGATGGGATACGGACATTACTGAAAGAAACGCTGCCGGAAGAGATGAAGAGGCGGGGGGGGCTACTTAAAGGAATAGTTTGACATTTTGGGAATATATTAGATGAAAAGATACCACTGTCATGTCTGTACACTGTCCAAAAGTAATACAAATCTCTAAAACTCACTGTTTTAACATCTCTTTTTGACTTCCTGGAGTCTCTATGCTAAGCTAAGCTAACCGTGGCTTCATATTTAGTGTTCCAAGATGTCAAACTATTCCCGTTACAGCACGTAGATCCAGAAGTTCCAGGACCAAAAAACCACCCAACGAAGGCCGAGACCAAAACCGGACGAGTCCAAGGTGGAGGTCCAAAGAAAAGACTGGACTTTGGTGCTACAGAAGTTTGAGCGTGGACTCACAGAAACCATAAACGAGAGACTTCCAATCCGATAAATCCTCCAAAACACTTATCCAGAAACCATCCTGTCAACACAACCGTGTTCAGAGACGATAAAAGGAATTTTTCTCCCAAATTTCATCCAAGTAAAAGAAACCGAGGGGAGGAAAAGGATTCAAACTGAGGTTGTAACTTCACTAAGAATGTAAAATAAAGCCTGATAATAACCACATTTTTACTCCAAGGGTCACAAATTATACCTTCCCGCTTCACATTGTGTGCCTGAAAACATGTACTGTAAAACTAATGACACTTATTCTAAACCACACTACGTTGCCAAAGACATTTTGTCACTGAGACGCTGCTTTATTTTATGTTTTCTTTTTGTATTTAAAATCTCCTGGTTCAGAGAATCGAAGGAGACACTAAGAAACTGTGTTTTATTTTTTTTTTTCCCCGTTAACAACACTAAAGTCCCAGTAAGGGAAGTTTTTTTTTTTTTTTGTATAATCTTGTTATGCTGGCTGACACAACTCCGCGTTCAGCAGATACATAAACTGTATTATCGATCATAATATCAGCATATCACATCACTTTATTACTGTAATGTTACCGCGTGTGAGTTTGAGACTCCACCGACTCGTTATACTGTCACATATTAACTGTTATGTACAGAAGACACTTGTGTTTATAATGTATACGATGTGTATATAGTGATTGAGCTTCGTGAAATGACTGGAATCGGTTGTAAAAACAAACAAAAAAACAAACAAAAAAAAAAAAGATTGGTTGTAAAAGATGAATGAGGAGAGCGGGAAGAGTTTGACGTTTACTGTATATTTTTTAAAAGGGGGTTCATATATATTTTCTGGAGATTGAGCTCGTCGAGCGTTAGACGAGAAGATTGTGTCTGTAGCAGGAAGTATGAAGCTACAGGCAGCGACCGGTCTTCTCATCTGAATTGTGTCAAGAAAGCAAAGTAATTAACCCAAAATAAAATAAAAACTATTTTCTTTATCACTTGAGTAAAATTGTCCCAATTTGGGATAACATTAACTTTTCCTGAAATTGTTTTTTAAAGATAATTCACCACCATCATATTCCATTTTAAAATAACCGCTACCTGTTTTTCTGCTCTTAGATTCCTTGACAGCTTTTGATTTGTGATGTTTCCAAAGTCCTAAACCTCGGACGGGACACGTTGTACACAGTTAAAACAAACTGCAGCTCGACAAGAGATTGGGAAGGATTTTGAAGAGGAAATTTTTTATATTTTGGTTGTTGAAAGTTAAGTGAAAACACAGACACCTTTTTTTTATCAGTTTGATCAACTTAAACTTTAAAGTTTTCCACTTATTTTTCCTCTTTTCTCAGATGAATTCCTGCAGTTTTAATCCCAAACAAACCCGTGAACTTTTAAAAACGTCCACATATACTCTGTCCTGTTCTGTACATATTATGTGTATTCTTGTACTATAACAGCCTTTTTTTTCTAAAACCGACTGGAAACTTATTGACTTGACGAGAGAGCGAGGAGAAACGAGTCGCTTGTCGGACCAGTAAGAGAGAATATTTCTTCTGTTCGTGTTTTTTTCTCATGTAATTCTGATTTATTACATTTTTTTTTTGTTGTTGTTGTAAAAATGCATTACAAATTTTGTAACTGCAAAAAAACTCTCCTGTGAGGGGAAAAAAGTACCATAAATAATAATAATAGTATTTTAAACTAAGCTTTTTACGTCTCCTGTTGTGATTTATATCCTCGTGGGTGGACGAGTCTCTTTACGCCGTCTGGTTGTTTGAATGTGGTGGTTGACGGTTAAATAAATACGGCTGAGGGCAAACGGAGGTTGACGGATGATGAGTGGACTCTGCGGGAGCTTGGAGAGATGTGGTGAAAAGACTCATTTAAAGGGGGGAAGTTAGTGGACTGTGGCGGTGGTGGTGGGGGGTGTTCGGCTCATTTAAAACATATTGATGATCCTGTGGTGTGTGTGTGTGAGTTTAAACTCATTTTACTACAAAATAAAGTGGTAAAAGTCAACTTAATTTATCCTCTGGGGTGGATTTAATTTAAAATATAGGAAACAACCTCAGTAAAATCCAACAGAAACTACTATAAGTAACTAAAATACCTTTAAAAAAGAACTACACAACATCAAACTAACATTGTATTGATAAATCTATAATATTCAGTAAACTATAGTTTAAATAACAGGTTAAAAATGAACATTATCTACTGTTTATAGACGTATAGAGGTAAACGTTCACTTAGTATCTCTGTATTATTACTTACAGTGAATACTTGTATCACTTTCACCTGTTTTATGTTGTTTTCTTGGCAAGAATAGGCTCCTATAATAAACGCAGGCAGCTAAATTAACTGTTAGGAAGAACCCAGGGAACTTCCAATATGGATTATATTCCTCAAGAGTCTGGCAGTTTTTAGCATCAAACACTTATAAAAACATGTTTTTTTTGCTGAGAAATGTACTTTTTTTTTTGTTTTTAGGGTGGGATCGAAGAACAGAGGACTGAGGAAAGCAGCTAAAGTGCAAAATGAATGATTGTATATGAGTGAAGGGAAAAGGAAGTGAAGAGAAACAGGCCTGCGCTGAAGCACCGTGGGAGGCAGGGTGGAGGAATGTTGACGTTGGGGAGCGAAGGGAGGGAAGATGAACGAGAGGGAGGCGAGCAATGAAGGGAGAGTTAATCATATCTGAAGACGTAAAGCAGGATGTATCGCCTTGTTAGTGGCAGTGAAGTGTTCACATCTTCTAGCAGCTGTCACTTAAAGTATTAAAAGTGTTTTATTAGGATTTTCTTTCTTCTTTTTTAAACTGTAAGATAACTTAAAAATAAAAACATTAGTCTTTTTATGATGTCTGAATGATATTTATATATGTTTATGTTGTATTCTGTGCCCTTTTTACATTTTAAGACTCTTTGGGGCACTTCAAGGCTGGATTACTGCAACTCTTTATTATCAGGTTGCCCCAATAAGTCCATTAAAACGCTCCAATTAATTCAGAACGCTGCAGCACGAGTACTGACAGGAACTAGAAAAAGAGATCACATCTCTCCTGTACTAGCTACTCTGCATTGGCTCCCTATAAAATGTAGAATTGAATTTAAAATCCTCCTCCTCACCTATAAAGCTCTTCATGGTCAGGCCCCTTCATATCTTAAAGAGCTCATAGTACCCTATTACCCCACTAGAACACTACGTTCTCTGAATGCTGGGCTACTTGTGGTTCCTATAGTCTCTAAAAGTAGAACAGGAGCCAGAGCCTTCAGTTACCAAGCTCCTCTCCTGTGGAACCAGCTTCCAGTTGTGGTTCGGGAGGCAGACACCCTCACCACTTTCAAGAGTAGGCTTAAGACATTCCTCTTTGATAAAGCTTATAGTTAGGGCTGGATCAGGTGAGTCCTGAACCATCCCTTAGTTATGCTGCTATAGGCCTAGACTATCGGGGGATTTCCCATGGTGCACTGAGCTCCTCTCTTCCTCTCTCTCTCTTTCTGCACTCATTCATGTCCCATTAATGCATGTTACTAACTTCACTTCTTCCCCGGAGTTCTTGTGCTTTCTCGTCTCGCAGGTTCTCATGGATCCTGGTGGAGCCTCCTGCCATGGTCCTGCTTGACTGCCATTGCCATTTTTGTGTTTCTGTCTCTCTCTCTCTCTCTCTCTCTCTCTCTCTCTCTCTCTCTCTCTCTCTCTCTCTCTCTCTCACCCCAACTGGTCGAGACAGACGACCACCCACCTAGAGCCGGAGGATCTGTCCTAGGTTTCTGCCTTTTAACAGGCAGTTTTTCCTTGCCCTTGTAGCCAAGGTGCTTGCTCATGGTGGTACTGTTGGGTCTCTGTAATTAATGTTAAAGAGTTCGGTCTAGACCTGCTCTATTTGAAAAGTGTCCTGAGATAACTTCTGTTATGAATTGGCGCTATACAAATAAAATTGAATTGAATTGAATTGAAGGTTTTCATTTGACCACAAGGTGTCGCCCCTTTACACACAATAAAAGCTCCCAGAAACTCAAACTGTCTGCAGTCAACAGTCATATTACAAATCATATGTATGTATAAATAAACTTGTTTGGATTATTTACCTCTCTAAAACCATTACTACTGTAAATATAGATTTATTTCTCAAACCTAACCTTTTAAAATGATTAAATATATATTTGAAACGTTAATATATCTATAGATATATAGATATATAGATATTTATAGCACATTTAGGGTTCATTTATAGATTTTTTGGATTATTTACCTCTAAAGCTATATTCCTGCGGAGTTGATGACCGAGTAGTCGAACTGCTCCACTGACCCAGTTGGAGAAGCGTCGATAGCTCTGGACTCGATTGCTTTCTCCTGACGTGCAGATGTTTGTGTCAAGGCAGCCGCGACAAGGCAGTCAAACCGGAAGTCGAGCGATTACGCCTTTCAAAATAAAATAGTTCACGATTGTATATTTTTTTTGCCAAATAAGCAACGATTTAATGAAACACGCCGATGTCAAAGCGAGTGGAATTAACGTGGCATTAAGCTCTGACGCTTAAAAAAAATGTCCCGTTTTAATGTTTTCTGTACGCTGACTAACACTAACACCAAAACGGAAGTGGTACAACCTAACGTCCGCTAACTTCACGCTTTCTAAATCGGATAAACAACGCGCACTGCGGACAATGTCACCCTCTTTTACGGTATTATTCGGTATCTAACGGAGGCAATGCTCTAGTGTGGGCTTCCTCCAACGCACACCCCGCGTTTTAACACCCTTTATTTATCCTTTTTATTGGTGCTGGCGGTGCACGGAGGAGGCTGGCGGTGGACGGAGCGGCCGCCGCGGAGCTTTCATAAGTTTCCATCCGGCTCACTGTTGACATAAAGCAGCCTCCGGTGGAAGACGTCGTCGGGGCAAAATCCGAGTCACAAGACTCCACCGAGCTGGAGTAACGGCTGCTTTCTCTCTCTCTCTCTCTCCTCAGGTAAAGGTTAACTTGAACTTAAAACATCTTATTATCTTTTTATATATATATATATATATATATATATATATATATATATTTTTATTATTGGAGTAAAATAATAATAATTTAAAAAAAAAAAAAAAAAGTTGCGAACGGGAGCTAACTGATTAGCTCAACGGTTGTATTTCGAACGTTGGTTTGAACGGTAACGGCTGACTAACTGAAACGGTTTGTTGTTTGTTTGTTTGTTTGTTTGTTTGTTTTTTTTTAAAGCTAGTCTAATAATCCGCAGTCTGTCTGTCTGTCTCTCTCTCTGTCTGTCTGTCTGTCTCTCTCTGGTTTTACCTCTAAACCAAACAACTCATACCAAGAACAGAAGTGCGGAAACGACTGCGGAAAAAAAAAATACTTCCCCCTCCTTCCTCTTCTCCTCCTCCTCCTCCTCCTCCTCCTCCTCCGGTAACTGGAGCTGTCATTTCTCATTATTAGTATTATTAACTAATAACGTTACCGGCGGAGAGAGAGAGAGAGAGAGAGAGGACGTTAATTAATGAGCTGTTAATGTCGGGGGTTGAAGTACGGAGGCAGCAGAAGGAGCTCACTCTCTCACAATGTCTCAGGTTTTGTTGAGCTTGTATCGGAAATATGCAGCCGATAGACTCAGAGGTAAAGAAAGAAAGAAAGAAAGAAAGAAAGCTGGTGTTTATGCTGTTCACCTTTTTATCTGCTTGTTTAAAAGTCTCCATGTTGTTTTTAAAACAGGGTTTGAAAGGATGGAGAACCCCGGCTACTGCTCCGGGAGCTTTGACGGTCTTCATCACCCAAGTGACGATGATGATGATGATATGGTGGATATTGCAGGGGCCACATTGGACTTCTCCAGCACCGACGACGTCCCCCCTCTCAGCTCAGGTAACATTAATGTACACAGGTACCCTTTAAAGGTGCAGATACAGGGTGCATTAATAACGGGGACAGTATATGTGGATATATGTGGCTGAATACTTCGATAAAACGAGTGAAAAGATGTACAGAAATGTGCAAAAGATCATCCCCGGGTGGATCTGGGGGAATTTAATTATATTTTATTATATTCTTAACAAAATCCATTAAGGGTTTGTTATTTTGTTGTTTAAAAAAAAAAAAAAAAAATAAAAAAAATAAAAAAATAATTTTAAAAAATTTTAAATTAATTTTTTAAAAATTAAAAAAATTAAAAAAAGGTTTTAATAATAAAAAAAAAAAAAAAGAAAAAAAGGTTTTTTTTTGGTTTATAATTTTAAAAAAAGGGGGAAAAAGTTTTAAAAAAAGGTGAAAAAATTTCTCCCGGGTGGATCTGCAAGTTAGTGGTGGGACATATAATCATATTTTATTATATTATTAAGATAAAATCAGGAGAAAGTGGATTAATATAACACATAGTGTAGCTTCGGGGCTTTGTTGATGAGTCCAGCTGCTGATGGAGGGATAAAAACATCATTAAATGGGCTTAAAGATCTTGTAGAAGTCTGAATATATTCATTTTATGGCTGCAAAGTTTATCAAAATGTGCATTATGGCATTAAGTGTAGTATCCAAGTCGCAAGAAGCTGCAATTTTAGATCAAATATGTGACAAACTTCAGTATAATTAAGTACTGTGCTGCTGCAGAGATCCTGTGGCCTACAAATATTGTTCTCAAAATGTAATAAAACATTTTTGTTTGGTAGTTTACAGGGAAAATAAAAATCCCTACTCATCGTGAATCATATCGCACAGCCGTAGTTCATTCAAATGTTTAAAACTAATAAAACAACTGAAGCAGAGTTAATGAAGATCCTGTGAGGACTTTAGGAATGTCTACAAGCCCCCAGAAGTCAGGGAAAATCATGAGTTACACTATCTACTGTTGTACCTCATCTTTATATCCCCTCATTTCTGTCTAAAAAAGGCATTTAATGCACAAAATTGTTTGTACAATTAAAATATATCATGCAAAAGATGTAAAATAGTAGAGGAAGGATACATATACAAAGTCCTCTCCGCTACAAAACAATTCAGTTACATGAAATCATAAACATCTGACTACATTTATCTTCTCTCACCGTCTTATCGCTCTTATTCTCTTATCTAATTATCTACCTGTCACTCAGTAACGGCCCCCTTGTTTGAATAGGTTTTAAATCCACTTCTTGGTAGCAATTCAGATTTCTGTAAATATCATAAAACTTTTCTTCCTTGGAAGCTCGCTGATGTTTTGTTTCTCTGATCTTCTCTCTGCCCTGAGTGATCTATAATCACTGTGAGGTTCAGTGTGGGTGTCACATGAGTTCAGTGAGTTGTGGGTCGTACATGTGAATAATCAGTTACTACGCTCTCTCTCTCTCTCTCTCTCTCTCTCTCCCTCTCTCTCTGTCTCTGTCTCCCAGAAACACGCAGTACCAACTTTAATGCTGTATTTTGTAGTTTGACCTCTCACCAGAGCACAAAAACAACCCTCAGAGTGAGTTATAGCTGTACTACTGTTTGTGGAAGCCGCTGTGACATCTGCCCGGTTACTGACGATGTCATCTTACGTCAGCGACCCTCTCCCGTAGTACGACAAACTCCAGACGACCCGGGAACAACTCCCAACGCACAGAGAAGAGATTTATCTCTCATTAATAACTGATGACGGCTCTGCTTATGTCATCATGACGCCGCTGTAAGACCTCGATTAGCCAATCAGAGCAGAGTACCAACAGAAAGTAGTTTTTTAGTATGTAAGGAAGGGAGGTCGTTTGCATTTTTGGACTCGAGAAGCAATGTTTTTAGAGTCTGCAGCTCACGGCGGGGCTATTGCTGAGTCATTGGTATTGATTAACCACTCCATTAACCTCCTGCTGATGGAGAACTAAAACCTTATTTTAGTTTCCCCTTCAGCAGGATTTCTATTCTGATCATTGCAGAAGTTAACTAAACAATAAAGCAAGATCAGTGTTAGCCATAGATCGACTGCTGATATCGTCGTATCGCAGCATGTTTATGAGTCTCCCTTCCCTCGGCTAAACAGAGCGATACCTAGAACGAGGCGTAACCCTGGGGCAGACTGTTCCTCCTCTTGTTTTGGTACAAACATCCCGAGAGTCTAAATTGTTTCATACATGGAAAAGCAGCCTCCACTATTACCACTAACTAGCCCCTACAAGTCTAAACAGTGTCTCGCTTCCTCAGCACTAGTGTAACCGTAAGACTTTCTGTCTATCTTTCCCAGCACATTATTAAAAAAAGCAAATTGATTCAAAAGTGCAGTGTCAGATATTGCCCAGTCATCGCTGATGTCATCATGACATTGCTAAAAAAATAATAATTAAATCTTGAAACTTTCAGGAGAAGTTAATGGATTAAGAATATGACCACAAATGATTTTGAGGTTCCCTAAAATAACAAACAAATAAATAAAACAAACCAACCCCTGTCAGAAAGCGAGATTAGCTGCCTGGTTACTACTGATGTCACTGTGACATCACCAGCCACTCGATGAAACTGCCAACAGGAAGGAAGTCTGGAGAAATACTTTCTCTCAGTGGAAGCAGCTTCTGTTGGGTTGAAACCACGTTTCTTTTCCACTGTGTCAGCCTTTTTTAAAACTGACTAACATGTTTTTTTTTTTGGTGGTTTAAGAAAGAAAATCTTAAACTCAGAGAGTGTGAGCGTAGTCATCCAGTTCCAGTAGAGAACACGAGCATCAGCAAAAAGTGGAGTTGCTTTGCTTTCTCTGCCTCAGACTGATTATATAATTGTGTGTCAGGCTCCGGGGAAATCAGGCCGGGTTAATTTCACCCTCCGCCTTCCATATTTAAAGTATCGGCGCTGGTTGTTATCTGTGCTGGCAGATGCTGCTTGAGGAGGCCACTCGCTGTGCAGAGAGAAGTCAATAAACTCCAGGTGAAAGCAAGTCTTTTAAATTAACATAATCTCATTTTTCCTGCCTTTTTAAAAAAATATTTCAGCACACACTTTCTGCTTTCTTTGTGCTGTTCGGTTCCCTGACTGCTCCTCAGCGCGCACTTGAACTTGTTGCCAAGCAAGTCTTCTTTAAAAGCCATTCTTAGTGCGGTCTTAATCGTTTATCCTTGTGTAAACTGTTGCTCAGGGACTCATTAGCCCTCCATTGCTTGTTGCTTAGAGAGGAGAGTTTGGTTGCTAGTCTAAATCCTGACCTGGGATTAATACCAAAGTACTCTGATCCTTCTGTCAACAACTAGTATAGGAAGGAAGGTGTTCCTGAGCAAGGCAGTGCTGCTGTCTGCAGTGTATCCGCAGCATTCGAACAGCAGGATGTCGTTTACGTCCCGATGGATGAATAAAGGTTGAAACCTGCCGCAGCAGATTAAAGCCTCCTAACAATCCCTCCCCCAAGGTTGTAGGGATCAGATGAATGGAGCGTTTTGTGTTAATCAAAAGAAAAACTGACCTTTCCCATTAAATCCTTTAGCTCTCTGAGGGAAGTGAGCATGTCACTGCTTGTCCTCGCAGTCTGGCTCCTGACGTCTGTGTGTTATTTTCTTGTTTTTGAAAAACAAAAAAAGACAGAAAGGAGGCGATAAGAGCAAAAAAATGCATTCAGACTAAAACTGTGCAGGCGCCTTTTACTCCTACTGGTGCAACACGTGCTCATCTTTTAATGAAAATATGAGATACACAGCTGCAAATGTTGACTCTTGACACCGCTTGACCTCGGTCATTGTAGTAATATTTTATTGACAGGAGGAAGAAGAGAGAGAGAGATGGAGAAAGAGCTGCAGCCTCTTGAAACAAGAAGCCATAATACATGTTTTTTTTTTTTAAGTATAGCCTGTAACAACTGTAAAGTCTCAAAAGGACTTCACAAAACCTTAAAGGAAGACTAAAACTTGGCTTGGACCTCATACAACTTGGAAGAGAAAGGGAGGAAGAAAAGATCCCACAAAAACTACTGGAAGAGAGGGAATTTCCCCACTAAGATGACAAAACAAAAGAAAGTGAAATCAAAGTAAACACCAACTTTATGTAGAAACTCCAGCAGATTAAATTGAGTGAGTTGGGGAAAAGACATTGAACTAACATGTTAGTTTATTTTAATCAGAATCAGATTTATTGCCAGGTAGGTTTTTACACATACGAGGAATTTGTCTTGGTGCAATGGTGCTTAAAATATGCAATCACACACAAAAATAAAAAGATAAATATATAAATCACACAAAAATCACACAAGAATAAAGTACTTTTAAAAAAAATAAAGATAAATAAAAATAAGAAAGATAAGAAAATGATAGGAAAACTGTACAGAAGACGGGAGTGCATTAATGTAATGCATATATATAGGGTGGGCAATTTTAATTTTTTTTTAAATTTGCTTACTTTGCTTTTTTTACTGCCCTTATTCAAATTAGTTTAAATCCATATTCTATTGCTTTATTACCAGTGTTATACAAGGTACGATTATTATACCAATCCTGTTTTTATTGCTCATTATATTGACATTACATCCCCTCGGCTGCTTTCTTAGTCAACAGGATGTAATGATTGACAGGGAGTGAGTCACAGTGATTGGGTACAGGGTGTCTGCCGTCTTTCTCTTTTTTATACCTCAATGTTTACTTCACCAGGTCACATGGGGGATTGTGTGAAACAGGGAGGGGGAGGGGAGGTGTGAAAACACTCAAATGAATAAGGGGAAGGGAAAAACATTTCCAAAAACATTCGATGGCATTTCAGGAGTTGAAGAGGAGACAGACGAGCTGTAAAGTGAAACATTTAGCGTTAGAAAGTGTTTACATACGGCGGCTGGCTTGAGTTAAAGGTCATCCAGGGACAGTTTTCAACACGTCCTGTTGAACCCCTAAATGCACCGCTGGTTTAATTAGACGTTACGTGCTCTTAAAGCGCATTAATACATAGTGACAGCTCTCAATAAAAACATACTCAAGTGACAGACCTGTGGTCATAATAACCTCTTACCACCTTTTTAAAAAGGTGTGACTCAAAAGCACTGAATGAGTCACAGTCATCACCACTGAGTGACCCTTGAGCCCTTTGTAATTATGAGGTCTTGTTAGAGATAAAACTTCATATATAAGCCAGAGATCACTCACTAGGTCCGATATCCTCCTGTGAAATGTTGTGGACGAACTATAAGTAGAAATAAATAAATAATGAAGAACTTTTCCTAAATAAAATGTGATAAAAGTTTTGTTTTGGTTCAAAGAACAGCACAGATTTCACACCATAAATGATTTAAAAAGATGTCAGATAGCTGTAATAAACTACATATTAAGTAACTAAGTAACATTAGTTTGGGTTTTGTGGTTCAGTCCAACAAAACATCTACGAAAGGAAAGAAGTTTGGTGTTTCTTGTAACGTTGGAGCCAGGTTTCTGTAGCTTTCCAGCAGGACAGTTTGCATCAGGTCCTCGTATATTTAAAGTTTCTTTCCAGCTTGTCTGAAAACTTCATCTTGTGGACATGAAAAATTAATTGAATCAACTGCAGAGACGCACATTCCTTCTTTTTATTCAATTTCCTCTGACTCACTAAATATGATTTAAAATCTCGGGCTTGGCAGAAGCGACGGCACTCCACAACATTACCAAGGTCCAGAGAGGCACGTCACAGGGGTCACATGAGATGCCAATCCCCATGGCAACCAGACCTCAGGAGTTTAAGGTTCAGATCCTTAGAGGAGACGTGTGTGTGTGTGTGTGTGTGTGTGTGTGTGTGTGTGTGTGTGTGTGTGTGTGTGTGTGTGTGTGTGTGTGTGTGTGTGTGTGTGTGTGTGTGTGTGTGTGTGTGTAAATCATTCGGTAACAGATAATGTACTGTAGAATTTTGGCAGACAGCGCCGCGGTCAAATGACAAAGAGAGCGTGTCGAATTTTCCGGAGTTTTCTGTAAATAGTTAAGTGTGTGTGTGTGTGTGTGTGTGTGTGTGTGTGTGTGTGTGTGTGTTGATATTCTGTGAAAATGTAAGATTATAGTCGGCTCTGTCCCTTCAGGACGCTCACAGACTTAGAGTGAGTGCTGAGCTCAGCATGACATCCCCCTTTGCTGGAAAACAAGCAGAGTTGCTCCGGGGACCGTGGTGTCTGTGTCTGTGTGTGTCTGTGTGTCTGTGTGTCTGTGTGTGTGTGTGTGTGTGTGTGTGTCTGTGCTGACCCATTTTCTGAGAAGTGCTAATACTGGATCAGTTTGCACTTTGAATACTGCTTTTTTTTTTTTTTTTTTTGCTTTTGGCATTTTAAGTTGTAGACAGGATTCTTGTACTCGTGCCACAGACTTCAAAGCGCTGCCATGTTAGCGCCGTCTTCATACTCCAGAGTTTACCTGAGAACCCTGTGATAGACTGGCAGCCCCGTCCTCTC